GACTGAAAAGTCGAAGATCAAAATGAATTTTTTATGAGAGAGCCAAAAAATTTGTTTAAACACAAGCCTATCCGATGTTATCCTGACCCCAAAATGACTTCGAACAGGCGATAAATGACATGCCATGCACTCTGCCCCCCAGGGCCAGACTCATGGAACTCTGTGTTCATCAAGAACTGCAAGAAGCCCCTATCACGAGCCTTTTCCATCCTATGGAGAGGGAGCATGGACACGGGGGGTCGTCCACAGTTACAAAAAACAACAGACATAGCCCCACTCCACAAAGGGGGCAGTAAGCAACAGCAAAGAACTACAGACCAATAGCACTAACATCCCATATCATAAAAATCTTTGAAAGGGTCCTAAGAAGCAAGATCACCACGCATCTAGAAACCCATCAGTTACACAACCCAGGGAAAACATGGGTTTAGAACAGGTCGCTCCTGTCTTTTCTCAACTATTGGACCACTACGACAAGGTCCTAAATGCACTAGAAGACAAAAAGAATGCAGATGTAATATATACAGACTTTGCAAAAGCCTTCGACAAGTGTACCATGGCGTAATAGCGCACAAAATGCTGCAAAAGGAATAAACAGGAAAAGCCCGGTCGATGGATCTATAATTTCCTCACTAACAGAACACAGAGAGTAGTCGTCAACAGAGTAAAGTCCGAGGCCAGCTACGGTGAAAAGCTCTGTTCCACAAGGCACAGTACTCGCTCCCATCTTGTTCCTAAATCCTTATATCCGACATAGACAAGGATGTCAGCCACAGCACCGTGTCTTCCTTTGCAGATGACACCCGAATCTGCATGACAGTGTCTTCCATTGCAGACACTGCAAAGCTCCAGGCAGACATCAACCAAATCTTTCAGTGGGCGCACAAAAAAACAATATGAAGTTCAACGATGAGAAATTTCAATTACTCAGATATGGTAAACATGAGGAAATTAAATCGTCATCAGAGTACAAAACAAATTCGGGCCACAAAATAGAGCGAAACACCAACGTCAAAGACCTGGGAGTGATCATGTCGGAGGATCTCACCTTCAAGGACCATAACATTGTATCAATCGCATCTGCTAGAAAAATGACGGGATGGATAATGAGAACCTTCAAAACTAGGGAGGCCAAGCCCATGATGACACTCTTCAGGTCACTTGTTCTATCTAGGCTGGAATATTGCTGCACACTAACAGAAACCTTTCAAGGCAGGTGAAATTGCCGACCTAAAAAAATGTACAGAGAAACTTTCAACGGGGGGCCATAACGGAGAAAAAAACACCTCAATTATTGGGAGCGCTTGGGTTCCTAAACCTCTATTCCCTGGAACGCAAGGAGGGAGAGTTACATAAATTAAATACACCGGGAAAATCCTAGAGGGACTAGTACCGAAACTTGCACACGAAAATCACTCTTTTACGAAAGCAAAAGACTTGGCAGACGATGCACCATCCCCCAATGAAAAGCAGGGGTGTAAACTAGCACGTTAAGAGACCATACAATAAGTGTCAGGGCCCGAGACTGTTCAACTGCCTCCCAGCACACATAAGGGGGATTACCAACAGACCCCTGGCAGTCTTCAAGCTGGCACTGGACAAGCACCTAAAGGTCAGTTCCGGATCAGCCCGGGCTGTAGCTCGTATGTTGGTTTGCGTGCAGCCAGCAGCAACAGCCTGGTTGATCAGGTTTGTGATCCACCAGGAGGCCTGGTCTCAGCCCGGGGCCGCGGGGGCGTTGACCCCCGGAACTCTCTCCAGGTATACTCCAGGTAAATAGTATTTTTGGGAAACTTATCAGAGTCTGTGTTAAAGGTATTTGATGCAGCTGGTAGTTTACTTACTAGTGTTGATGCAACAGATGTGTAGTGGGAAAATTAAAGCAATTGCCACCTTAGAGTTTCGTGGCATACCTCATATCGATAGTGGGGTACTATTTTAGACCTATCTACTGGCTTATGGCTATACCCCAACTGTTTTAGTTGTTGCCAGAGCTTTCTGGGGTTATGCTTATATTCTTCAATTTTTGAGCAATAGTGGCTTTGCCTTTGCTCCTTTTATAAGCCTCTGTACTCTGTTCCTCACCCTTTTGGAATTCATTTAGTGCTGCAATATCCTGTCTGTTTGCTTTAAATCTTTTTAGCAGCTGGTCTCTGAATTTTCATATTATCTAATATCTCAGTATTTATCCAGGGTTCGTTCTTCGTTTAATTCTAACCTCTTTTAACTGGTGCAATATTATTAAGAATGGTAGTGAACATTGTTTTGAATTTTTCCCAGGCATCGTTTACGTCCGTGCAACTTGTTTTTTCTCTGTCCAGTCACAATTGTGTAGCCTATTTACCAGTGTTTCTTACTGTAGTTTCTAGTTGACCTCATTTTTATTGTCCTGTGTAGGCCTATCCTATCCCTAGTGATTTCCTGGTGCAGTAAATGATGAAAAAGATCACTAAGACCTGTGGTAATGACGCCTGACTGACTAATGTTCTCAGCGCGGTTTTCAAAGTATGTGGTCAATTAGGGTGGCTGAGAACTGTTTTGATCCGGGTTGGTTTATTAATTTGTTGGGTGTAGCTATTTAATCCTAGAATTTGCTTATACCTTTTGCATAGCCCGTTATTTTGTTGCTGAAAACAGATATTTAAGTCGCCCAGTATTATTGTTTCGCAATTGCTTTCAACTCCGGACAAGACTCTGGAAAAGTCTTCTAAGAATGGTCCTGGGTAGGGGGGCGGTAACTAGTAAACCTTTCTAAGATGGGTTTTGGGCTTGGGAAGCAGCACTTCAAACCATAGAATCTCCAGTTTTTGTTATTTAAATCAGGTCTTGGGTTGTTTAAACTAAGTCATTTCTAATTAGGCACATACTCCACCGCCCTTTTTTGTTCCTATCTAAAACGTTTTATGTTGTAACCTTCTATTTTGACCTCGTCGTCAGTCACCGTATCATCCAACCAAGATTCAGAGATGGTTTTTTAACTGCCGCCCTAATTTTTGTTAGCTAGAATCCTAATCTCTGCCAATTTAGGAAGAAGTGATCTTTCATTGACATGAATAAAGTGAAGGCCTGTTTTCATAAAACCCAAACATAATCATCAATATATGGCAATGGGTCATTTGTATTAAAATTAGGTAAATCAATGTCATCACTGCTAAAGGGTAACTGTGCCAAAGTGCATTTGTTACACACAAAATGAATTCTGGCACCGTTGCTATAATTGTACATACATCCATCATGCACCCACCCCTTACACATTTTACATAAGGTGCCTTTTCTGTTTTTCATGCGTACTTTAGTACAGTGTATGCATCTGTTTGGTAGTGTTTGAGATAATAATGGCTGTATTGTCTCACACTGACCTATGTATGCATTACATATGGAGTTAAGGTGACTGACCACCTCAAACTTCCCCAGGCTGAGGGACTGACCACCTCAAACTTCCCCAGGCTGAGGGACTGACCACCTCAAACTTCCCCAGGCTGAGGGACTGACCACCTCAAACTTCCCCAGGCTGAGGGACTGACCACCTCAAACTTCCCCAGGCTGAGGGACTGACCACCTCAAACTTCCCCAGGCTGAGGGACTGACCACCTCAAACTTCCCCAGGCTGAGAGACTGACCACCTCAAACTTCCCCAGGCTGAGGGACTGGGCCACCTCAAAAATTCCCCAGGCTGAGGGACTGAACCACCTCAAAACTTCCCAGGCTGAGGGACTGACCACTCAACTTCCCCAGGCTGAGGGACTGACCACCTCAAACTTCCCCAGGCTGAGAGACTGACCACCTCAAACTTCCCCAGGCTGAGAGACTTCTCAGTAGTAGTAACCAGTTACCAGTCTCAGTAGTAGTAACCAGTTACCAGTAACCGTCCGTTGACTCAACGATCAACCGTCTCTGCCTGAGTCACTATCTGAATTCATATTGTGAGTTAAACGCAAAAACCATTCCAGATCGCTTTCCACTCCCTGTACTGGGTGATCTTTTACGTAATATCGGAGATAACAAAGTCTTTTCAACCCTAGATTTGTTACAAGGGTTTTGGCAAGTCCCTCTTCACGAGGACAGCCAAGAACTAACTGCATTCTCCACTCCTACAGGTCATTATCACTTCCTCCGTATGGCATTTGGATTACGATCTTCCCCTATCACGTTCTCAAGGCTCATGACTAATATCTTTAGAGGTCTCATAGGTTAATCACTTATGGTGTACTTAGAAATGACACGTAATCGCGTCATGACCTAAAGACTGGATTAACACACTTGAAAAGACTCATGTGGTACTTGTAAGCAGAAGAAGCCAATTTAAAGCAATCAAACGTCAAAATGTCAATTTTTCAGATCAGAAATTAAGTTATTCTTGGTCCGAGTCACACCTAGAGGGGTTACGACTGACCAAAGAAAAAGTAACTGCAAGTAACTAAATTTTCTTACTCCCAAACTGCTGATGCCATGTAAGATCCATTCGTGGGCTTAGCAGTGTTTTTAATAGATCTTTCAGCGTGCCAATTATTACTTCTCATAGCTGTTCCTCTAACTGAGTTGCTTAAGAAAGATGCTCCTGTTTGTTTTGGAAACCTTCCGTCAAGAAAGAAGCATTCCAAACTCTAAAAGAAAAGCTAACTTACCTGTGCTCCAATTTTGAAATTACCATGATTTTCCTAAGCTTCTATCTACAACTGCTGCTAGTTTCAATTGCATGTGCCTACTAGCTTCAGAAGACCGATGGCAAGCTAACAACGCAGTTTGCATTATGCTAGCCGAGTCCTTACGAAGGCTGAACGATAATTATACAGTAACTGAGCAAGAAGCTTTAGGCATATAGTATGGTGCTTTAAAAGCACTTCCCCGAGACATTATTTATCATTACCTACTGTTCATTTCTGAACAAGATCCATGCCTCCACTTGATAACCCTTATTTCCAGAGACAAACAAGCCATACGGAAGGTTAGCTAGATGACCTTGACTATCTCAGAGAGTTCAATCCCACCTTTGACATTACCTGGCACAAGTCAAATGTTAGTCGCAGATGCCTTATTCGCGACATTTTTAGTATAGTAACTGGCAGACCCTCCATATAGTGCTGAAGATTGTAAAGAATGCTCAAACGAACAGATCCCATTGGTCGGTGTAATCGATTCCTGCACCAGGAAGATCTTATTTCTGAAATGTGAAGCCACACCACATCCCATCAGTGACTTTGCCTGAACCAAGATTACTGTATCAACAGCCGAGTTGGGTACATCCTAGCAGAAGAGTATACCAGCTTAGTAATTCCACAGTCACTAGTGAATGTAGCCTTACCAGCTAGTTCACGATTGTCTACCAGGTGTTGCACAACCCTGGTATGGAATTCGTTCAGTAAACAAGCCAGATTGAAAAACTTTTGGCCACTACTCAAGGCAACTGAATATTACTGAGTATGTTCTGAAATGTAGCTGACTAGCCATCAACATAAAGCATTGCGACGCTAATGGACACTAATCCAATCCAAGTGTATCCAAACTACTTGCAACCTTGGGACAAGAGTTGCGCATGAATTTGATTAACTAATTTTAAATGTTCCACCACGGTAAACATACATCTGTGTTGGATATGGAATACAAAGACGTACCATTTCACCAGGATATTGAGAGTAAGTATCCTATGCATATAAGACTGCCAAGCACAGTACTAAAGCGTTTAAAGAACGCATATCTGCAGGCATACCACTTCCTAAGTCCCATATAAGCCAGATAACGGAAGGTGAATTCCAGTAATGAAATCTTGACGCGAATTTGTGTACCTTGTACAAGATCACTAAACACCACCATTGTACTCAGCATCCTTCCAGCAAGTGGGTTAGGGAACGAACCAATTAATAAAGTACTTGATGTCTTAGAGAGCTACTAATCAATCCCACAGTGAAACTTGGGATGAAGTTATACCAGTATTGTGCAAGTAGTGCTATAATTTGCTGCTTACAATGATAACTTCTATAGTGACACACCACATTATTCCGATTTATGGTGTAGATAACCAGTTTGCCTTATGAGAGTTGTTTATATACACATCAAACCGAGAAACAAAGTTACAACCTGATGATTTACCAATAGGCAACTCTTACCAGCTTTGAGGCACAGAAGTGTTTTTTAGAAGAATCCGTGAAACACTTCATAAATACATCCAACAGTTGAATTACAAGAGTCGCAAATAACTTCGTGTAAAGCCATCCAAAATCAAAGAGGACTTTCGAGAGAGATATTTGACTAATTTTAACAAATACGTCACACTGCCAAATCAATGATCAAAAGTTTGTTGGTCCTTATCGAGTAGTTGAACATATCATCTTTAATAAGATAAGGATTGAGAGAGATTAGTACGTGGTCTGTATAAAGAATCGCATTTGGCTCATATTAAGTTATATTGGATGATAATGATGTTCCAACCCGGACTAATGTGACAGACTCTGACAATCCTCCTGATCCTGTAGACTCTCCTTCCCTCTTGATACTCAATCAGAAGATTCAACCTGGAATGTCGTTATTCCCTAATCGAACTACGACAGTATGAGAAATCCCAAGTATCATTTGTAACTTCCAATTCAGATTTGCCTCAAATACAGCATGAAGATTTAGTCCCATGCAGACCAGAGAGTTTGATCCTCCCCTTAATAAGAATGACCAAACGACCATACATCTGCACATGCAATCACAGACCCTAGCAGAGTTGGTAGGTTAAATGAAAATACCCTGTAAAACATAAATAATTACACTATCAACTTATCAGTATCCAATGAATTTTTTTTTTCTGTGTGTTTCAGATCTCCTCTCCGCATCTGAGAGTTTCATACAGTCATAGATTTCTGCGTGCACCGACTCGCGCTTTCTCGTTTACACTCTTTCATGGTATATTATTTCCTTCCTCATGAAATCCTAGATCACATGAATACACGATCGATCGATCAAAATTTTTGTTATTTCTTATCACTAGTAATCTCCAACGTAGAGTTCGTTGTTTCATTTGTTGAGTTTTAAAGTTGTACTAAAGTTTACTGTATGCATATACAGTTTCAGTATACGTAAGCTTTCATTCCAGATGTTCTACTACTTATTTATCTCATAAGGTTTTAATGTTGTGGTACTTTGACATTGTATAGAATTACCCCTAGCCGACCTGCCATTCTTCTATTTTGTATTAGTGTGTATGTCGGGACGACAATGACTTAGCGTCGGCCGAACTCACAGTAGTAGTAACCCAGTTACCAGTCACAGTAGTATGTAACCAGTTTACCAGTAACCGTCCCGTTGACATTCACGATCAACCGTCCTCTGCCTGAGTCACTATCTGAATTCATATTTTGCCTGACTTTCAGCAGTATATAGGGGCCCACCCTCACATAGGGTACTGCAGCCGGGCTAGTCAGTAATAGCGGAGGTGTAGCAAGAGATTGGTAGGGCTAGCAAGGGCTCCCTCGTGCGCATAACAGCAATTATAAGTATATTAACAGCCTACGTGAGTATATTCTACCTAATGCCACCGTAATCGAACACCCACAAGTGATAGAGAACTGACCACCTTCAAACTTCCCCATCTGAGAGACTGACACCTCAAACTTCCCAGTGCTGAGAGACTGACGCACGTATCAAACTTTCCCCAGGCTGAGGGACAAACCACTCAAAGCTTCTCCAGGCTGAGAGACTGACCACCTGTCAAACTTCCCCATGCTGAGATAACTGGACCACCTCAAACTTCTCCCCAGCTGAGGACTGACCACCTCAATAACTCTTCTCCAAGGTTGATGGACGTGGTTACATCTCTTTACTCGCTACTACTAGCCTGCAGTACTTGACTGAATAAGTCCTATCTTTCGGCGCAACCATAGTTCATAATAAAGATTCCCAACTGTTTACCCTGTGTCTCATTTGTTTTATATGTGTCATGTGTATTTCATGTGATCTCAATGTTTCTTAATCATCAACTTCTCGTTATTTAATTACCAAATATCAACATACCAAGAGAAAAGATCGTTGTCACATTTATACATATACAAGAGTAACACGATAATAATGTCATATTGGGATTCTATGGAGGAGAAAAATTATAACATAGAGGGAAGTGTAAGTGGACGGGGCTATATAGAATTTTTGTAAAGGAGGGAATGCAGGCAAGAATAGGAATTTTTCCCAAAATAAATGGGATTAGGAGAGGTAGTTGTTTGTTGCTCAGCAGTGTTGAATATCTTCATGATGTGGTTGTACAGATGTTACTGTAGTTTTGGAGAGTGCAGTATATTAATAAGATTAAGAATTCTGGCACGTTTGCAGCGTTTCAGATGAATACAAAATGAGTGAGAGATCTCATATTGGGTACAAGTATTTAATTTAATGAGTAATGAAAATAAGCAGGCACAGAGAAGGAGGTGAACAGACCCAGGTCTACACGAGGTGGCAATACTCCACACAGCACGTCTCACCATCGTCGGCCTCGCTGAGGAGCTCTCTTGATTCGACTAATTGATGTTGGTAATTAGGGACTCAGAGGTAGTCAGAAGCTCTGGATCGTCTGTGTCGATGGACACACCATGGCTCCAGCCAGACTCCTTGTTCTTGGCCAATACTCTAGCCTGTGATCACACTTACACACGCAATAGTGTGATATGGCACAGGTCAATCATATAGAAAGCGGATACCGGACAGAAGTGAGATCGCGGAGGACAGTTTACCGTACTAGGATAGCGAACGGAACAGATGCAGGAACAAGAAAGGTACGGGGACATTATAGAGGATCTATGTAGATAGCGAGAATTGCGACAGTGTGAGTTAACAGGAACAAAGACATGTACTGTGACTGTGACAACCCAGGGACGGGACATGTGAATACAGACAGGCAGACAGGGGCAGGAAACAAGGACAGGGGCAGGAACAAGACTTGGGGCAGGACAAGGACAGGGGCAGGAACAAGTACAGGGGCAGGAACAATATGACTTGGCCAGGAACAAGGACTAGGGGCAGAACAAGGACTGGGGCCGGAATATGACAGGAACATGGACTGTTGCCGGGGGAAGGGAGTAGGTAGGAGTAAAGAAACAGGATTAAGCAGTACGGGGCATCACGGATCAGGAAATTGAGCAGGTACGGATCTCACTTCCACCACCCCGACTATGAAGCAGTTTTTTGAAAAAAAAATAATTAAATATAATTATTGTTTAAAGTGCTAAAACCCAGCAGCCGAATAATATGAAACAAAAATCGAATATTAAAAGGCCGTATTTTTTAAAGAAAAAATAGAGAATTCCCCATATGCCGGCAAGGTTTTTACTCCTTCAAAGAGGGCGTCTTGTTCCGGTGAAAAGGGTCTTCATGCCCAGGAATAATGTTACCGTTGAGATATGACATCGAGTCCGCATCGTCATAGCCACCACAAGATCTTTCAGATTTGAGCGCATTTAGACAGTCAAAGGTATCGTGCAGAGCCGGGTCGTGCACCACCGTGCGCAGACCGTTGGTGCTGATTCCACAGCAGCAGAGTCGCTAGCAACACTATCTGACTCAGGAACCGACCAATAATATAGGTGCAAATTAATGTTTTTGATTATAAGTAGGTCTCTTCCGTTTCTGTCCCGGCCAAGGTTTTTCCATATGGTGACCTGGCGGCATTAATTGGTTAATGCAGTACTTGTAAATATAGGCATTAGTAAAATACATGTGCAACACTGCGGTAACTTTAAAACGCCGAAAGCCTACTCAAGCAGTTGAAGAGTAACGTATGTTCATTTTTCAACTACTAATCTACCTTGTAATAAGTTTGCTTAACACATTTGCTTTGTCTGTATATCGTAAGGTGAAGTCTGAGCTGTTGCCGCAGTGCACAACCTCAACGATTTGTTAAGCTATGACCGTGAATTAAGGAAAGATTCTAGACGTTCACTTTCACGAAACCCACACACGACAAGGCGATAGTAATTTATGGATAAGCGAGTAGATTATAGATGGGCCATCTCGAATCATATTATCTAGAACCAACAGCGATACAACTAACTCTGCATTCCTTAAGTTACCTCTGTATCGATTAAAGAGCTGTTGCCAGGTTAAATCGCGCTGTTGAACAGTATGAAATATTTCAGCCTGGTTTGAAAGTGAAAATCATTGTCTAGCCTGTT